GGCCTGTCGGTAAGCAGTCGGGTCCAGAGGTTGCTTGATGAACCTCTGGTCTTCGTCCGTCAGTCCATATATATGCCTCCTGACGTGCCTAGGCGAGGGCTCCTCTGCAAGCAGCTGTCTCTTTGGGTGGCNCCTCGCCGTGAAGATGGTGTTCGGGCGACATCAGGAGGCATCCTGCAAAAGGTGTTCAGCCCCCCTTCTTTGGCAACACAGAAAGGAGAATTCTACTGCCTGAGGGTTATAATCCATAAGTGCGGCCGAAGGCGGCCTACGCAGAATGGTGTTCTCTGCAAAAGGTGTTCAGCCCCCCTTCTTTGGCAGCACAGAAAGGAGAATTCTACTGCCTGAGGGTTATAATCCCTAAGTGCGCCCGAAGGCCGCCTACGCAGAAAGGAATTCTACGCAAAAACACATTTGTTAAAAAGAACATTTTTTTTATAAAAACTTTTTTTTTCTATTTTTGATTAACTTTTTTATTCTTTATTCAAAATCGCCCGATATCTAATTTGGCACAATTTCTTTTATTAAATAATCCCACGGTTTCTTTTAGTTGGGTCATATTCCATTTCAAACTGCTTAGTTTGCCTAAGAAAATTCTGTTTTTCCCCCTTTTTCAAACGGTTCCCTAGGGGCCTGTGGGAGGAGCCCAAAAGGGGAATACGCCTTTTTAGAAAGCGAGGACTGTCCCCTTTCTAGTGATCGCTACTAAACATTTCCCGAAATATGCCCTTTTTTTTGTAAAATTCGTAGTTTAGCGTACATTTATCACTCCTTTTCTCCTTAAACTATCCACTTCACCAATACATTTTTGTATTCCCCTTCACTTTACACTTTACTCGATTAGTTATAACTCATGATACAATAGCACAAGGTGGTATCAGTTGTGACAGCTCGATTTGACACTGCCTTAGCTCAGTAGAATAAGAGGACAAACGGGCAGAAATTAATCCCCATTTGGGAGAAAAATATAAAATTTCATGTTTTCTTCTAAACAAAATTTGCTTTCTTATAGTATATTCGTAATGAAATAAAATAAAATAAGATAAAATACCATTTTGAGAAAACAAAATGTGTATACTGAGAAAAAATAAAAAAAAATTTCCACTATATTATTAGGCAAATAATTGTTAAAGAAGTAACACTGTTTCACCTAAGGCATTCAACATGGCGGAATTAGAGCGAGAAGCTGCCAACCGATAACACCTTGTATTATTGCATCATGGTTATAACTTGCTTTACGACTTTAATATTAACCCATTAATCACAATTCGTTAAATAAAAACACCTTCAAAATCACGCGTCTGACTTTGGTTGCATATTCAATTAAAGTTGCGTTCCAGATAACTTCGTGTAAAAACCTGTAAAATTGTCAAATANTATAACTTGCTTTACGACTTTAATATTAACCCATTAATCACAATTCGTTAAATAAAAACACCTTCAAAATCACGCGTCTGACTTTGGTTGCATATTCAATTAAAGTTGCGTTCCAGATAACTTCGTGTAAAAACCTGTAAAATTGTCAAATAAGGTCGGTGTTATGCAGAAATTTTCTTTGGCAAACTGCGTGCAATTGTTGTTGCAGCAAACTCGGCGAGAGCGAGTTCCCACGACAGTCGGGTCTACGTAACCGGAACGACCCAGATTTATATCTGGCCAAGGACTGTCACTCCAGCAACACTCCCCAAAAAGTCTTTGGGGAATTTGTATGCTGCTACAACAACAACAACAACAACAGAGCGAGTTTGGCGACTCTCACAGCAAACTAATTTAGTTTGGTTAAATTGCAGCAAATTCGGCGTTGTCATATACAAAAATTTTAGATAATTGTTGCTATACACAAAATACTCATTTCGTGTTGGCAATAGCCATGAAAACCATAATGAACGTGCAACCTTGTTCCAAACTCGACATAACCACCTCCGAGCAAACTAGGCAGCCGCCATTTAATTTGGCAAACAAAATTTGTCTGCATAACACCGACCTAACAAAATTACTCTCTTGAAAGAGAGGAGCGAGAGCGAATCAATAAAGGTCACCTGGAACGCGAAAAACCCCTTTTCCTGCAACTACTTCGATTTTTTTTTAATGAAAAGTGCCATGGAGACGATCAAATATCTTTATCAACCGTCTCGCGTTATGCTTGATAAAAAAACAAGCGCACTTGCCTTCTGATCGTCGTGAGCAAGTGCGCGGACAAAAAAATAAATTGTTTGTTTAATTGACGAGTTTATTTGAACGTTTGCGAGCCAATCTCATACATATGCAATGCTTGACGTATTTATTTGATTGTCTCCGTGGCGCTTAAGGTTCTGTTTTTGTTTACAAATGCAACCCTGCCTATCGTTAGACACTTTTCATCAAGGTGTATTAAACAAGGTGGTGTTGGGGCGACAGCTGAGTTTTTCGCCGTGGAGGCCATTACGTCAAAATGATGTGTTTGTTGTAACTCATACCAATGACAGTATGGACATCAGCGTATAATTTGTTAGTGTAATTTTTTACTTATATACGGCCAACACCACCTTGTTAAATACGCCTTGCTTTTCATGAACTTGCAGGAAGAAAAACTTCGGACTAAGGTCGGTGTTATGCAGAAATTTTGTTTGGCAAACTGCGTGCAATTGTTGTTGCAGCAAAACCCGGAGAGAGCGAGTTTGGCGACTCTCACAGCAAACTAATTTTGTTTGGTCAAACTGCAGCAAATTCGGTGTTGCCATATACAAAAATTTTAAATTTTGCGCGTTATGTACATCTGAAATTCTCATTTCGTGTTGGCAATAGCCATGAAAACCATAATGAACGTGCAACCCTGTGCCAAACTCGACATAACCACCTCCGAGCAAACTAAGTAGCCGCCATTTAATTTGGCAAACAAAAGTTTGTCTGCATAACACCGACCTAAAACCTGCAACTTCTGCCTGAGAGAGAGAGAGCAAGTTACTCTCACAAAAGTGGTTTGACTTAGGTCGATGTTATGCAGACAAATTTTGTTTGCCAAATTAAATGGCGGAGGTGGTTATGTCGAGTTTGACACAGGGTTGCACGTTCATTATGGTTTTCATGGCTATTGCCAACACGAAATTAGAATTTTGTGTATAGCAACAATTGTCTAAAATTTTTGTATATGACTACGCCGAATTTGCTGCAGTTTGACCAAACAAAATTAGTTTGCTGTGAGAGTCGCCAAACTCGCTCTCTCCGAGTTTGCAGCAACAACAATTGCACGCAGTTTGCCAAACAAAATTTCTGCATAACACCGACCTTACAGGTTTTTTGGCACCTGTAACGCTTTCCTGCAAAAAAAAAAACCTGCAAATCGTGAATATCGTGAGCATCTGGAACGCAACTTAAATGGCGGAGTTCAACTGTCAAACTCCAAAATATGCAAAAGAATAAGAGACAAAAGAAGATAGGATATAACCCAGTAAGCATTAAAAATATACAAAGGTGTTCTCTGCAAAAGGTGTTCTACTCCTTTTCTTCGCAAAACAGAAAGGAGATTTCTACTTTCTGAGGGTTATAATCCCTAAGGCCGCCTACGCAGAAAGGTGTCTCTGCAAAAGGTGTTCAGCCCTGTGTTGGCAACACAGAAAGGAGAATTCTACTGCCTGATGGTTATAATTCTTAAGTGCGGCCGAAGGCCGCCTACGCAGAAAGGCGTTCTCTGCAAAAGGTGTTCAGCTCCCCTTCCCGAACATTTTCCCCGCGTTTTACTACCGTTAACTTCGAATTTCCGTAATATGGTGTTTACATGAGGCGATTTTATAGATACACAAAATAGGATAATCTATCACAGAAGAGAAAAGAAACTTTTTTTTAAGTTCTAAATTCAATGAGAGAAAACTATTCACGTACGCCATAATTTCGCAGTATTATCTTAAATGGTTATTTCTTATGAATGTACATACATATAATTGCATATTACAGTAATTAAAGATGGGTAAACATAAAAATTATATCATATAACCATTACCTTTACACAAAGTGGATACCATCTACAATCTACGCGGCTCCCAGAAAGATTTATAACAGAAAGTGTTTTCCCTAAGTTTCTAACATCTCGGCGCAGTAAGCATGTCCGGGCCAGAGAAATTTTTGAGCTAAGATCATCAGAACGCATACCCTTCAAATCATTGTCGAAGCTGCGATGAATGGGCTTAGAGCAGGCGCTGTTCCGGTCCGACCAGATTATATGCTGTGAATCATTTATCACTTCCAAAGTTTTCTCGAATATACTTCTAGGAATTTTTATAAATTCGCTGGTTTTTTTATCTTTTTTACGTCTTTTGATAGTACGCCTGGTTGGCAAAGACATAATTACTAGAGCAACACTTGTTTACAAGAGATTATAAGAAAATAAAACACTAATAGTTGCAGATTAGTTTTCTTCTTTTGGGATACAGGGTGGACCACATTTGCGAATAAGAAAGTTATGTGGGGTGTTCACGGAAGAGATTATGTAACCAGTTAACGATTTTTTTCGATATAAATGTTATTGTGCCAACAAGTGCAATAGCGATCCGAAATTTTCGCTAACTGGTTATAGAATCACCTCACACTTCCTTTGGCATAAATGCAGTTGGGCTCCAATTCTCAAATTAAAACAAAAAATTTTGGAATCGATAGAGAAGATTGAGCTGAGTATAACGGTATACTTCTTTGTTTGGGCAAACAACAACAACAAGAATTATCAAAGGTTAACAGCCCTATTCTAATAAAACCTCACAACTGAGTTGTGAACAAAAATTTGTGAGATTTCTTGTGAGGTCAATTTTGTGAGGTTATTCTTGCCCACACCTCATAAGAAAAAAGCTCAACCAAATCACCACACGAGGTGAAAAGCATTTTGCTGTCGTAAATAAAATAAATACAAAAGATGGATGCTGAACAAGAGGAAAAGTAAATATTTTTGGAAATTTGTTTATTTTTTTGATAATTACTGACTTTATTTATTTTCTAGGCGAATTTAAAAAGAAATAACCAAGCAATAGTAGCTCCAGTACTTCACATAGTTTACAATCCACAACTTGGTGCACAAGTTTGTATGGAAATAAAATCCTATGCCTGCTCTAACTCTTCCGAAACTGCCGCAAAAACAAGCAATAACTCCGCCATTACTGAATATACTTTTAGTTAAAAAAAAAAAACTTAACACAGACACTGTTAGCGGACGAAAATTAACAAAACATTATTCAATTGCTCCATAAAAATCGGCTGGTTTTCTCTTGTGAGGGTCTCATTCGTACATCATAAATTTTCTGACAATTGTGAGCGTATGAGCTTTTGAATTTACGCCAGCATAGGGATAACCTCACAATAGTCAGAAACCTCACAATAGTGAGTGTGGTGATTTTTGTGAGGGTAACAGAATAGGGCTGTAAATTTTAAGTTGGTACTTAGCCAGAAAAGTCGAAACTAAGGCGACTATGAATAGCTTTAGGTGTAACTTAGGATAGTTTCGACTTAGTTGTGAACTAAATATGACTATGAATATGCGCCCTTGGTATTTTAGTGAAAGTATTTTGCATCCCCAAGGAACCTGAGTACTTTGGACCAGAGTATTTAGCGCCTGCTAAATACTTTCATTTTTTGTACTTTGGTATCTAGCAGCTCCTAAATACTCAAGTTTTTCTTACTTTAATATCTAATAGTTCCTAAATACCTAAATATTTTTTACGTGGGTATTTAGCAGCTCCTAAATACCTAAGTATTGTTTACTTGGGTATTTAGCACCTCCTAAATACCTAAGTAAATAGTACTTGGGTATTTAGCAGCTCCTAAATACCTAAGTAAATAGTACTTTGGTATTTAGAACAACACAAAATACCTAAATAATTTTGTGCGTAATACTTAATATTTAGTAAATACAATTTTGCCCATCACTGACTTATATATATAAGGGCAAAGGTGGAGGGGAATATGTAGATGAAGAAAATAATAAACTTAAAAGTAAAAACAAAGATGAGGATGAGGATACCGATAAAAGTAAAGATGAAGATAGGGGTAGAAAGGTTAAAATAAAGGTAATTAAAGAGGAAACGATATAGAGAGAGACACAGACTCAATCCGGGAAATATTTTGGGATTTTAGAGATTTTCGGGATTCTCGAAACTTATCGATAAAATAATCGAAATTTTTATCGGTTTTGTTATCGATATTCTTATGGATTTTGTCATCGAAATTTTTATCGATATTTTTATCAATTTTGCTTTCGATATTTTCGAGACTTATCGACACAATAATCGATATTTGTATAGATTTTGTTATCGATATTTCTATCGACTTATCATCGATTTTATAATCGATATTTTTAACTATTTTGTTAGTGATATATTTTTATCGATTTTGTCATCGATATTTATCGATTTTGTTATCGATATTTATCGATTTTGTTATCGACATTTATCGGTTTTCTTATCGATGTTTATCGATATTTATCGATTTTTTTATCGATGGTTATCGATTTTGCTATCGATATTTATCGATTTTGTTATCGATATTTATCGATTTTTTATCGAAATTTTGTCGGTTTTGTTATCGATGTTTATCGATTTTTTACCGATATTTTTTAATAATTTTTATCGATTTTGTTGCCGATATTTATCGATGTATCTATTGATATTTATTATTGAAATTCACGTAAGATTTAACTGCCATCGATGATATTTATGCTGGCCATGTATGTACATATATCGTTTGTTAGAAAAATTTGTTATTGAATAGCGTAGTTCAAATTAACATAAGTGATGACAGCTAAGCACAAAATGGGTTCAATATCGGATAGTAGTTTTTCTGAAAATTGCAGATAAATTGTATTGAATATAAGCCATCGATATATTTATTAAATATGACACAAATTAGATATGTAACGTAAGTTTCACTTCTACAGTGTGGCCCAGGCGCACCTACTTTTTTTTATTAATTTGTGTTTCTTCCATAGAATCCCACGAGTAAGGAGGAAGAGAGAGGTCATCCGAGGCAAAGCCACGGTACCCCGGAAAGACTTAAGCTCGGAACACTTTGACGACTGCAACTTCACGACGTAACGACAGCGACATCATTTTGTCGACAAATGTCGCCTTGAAGCCAGCTTCTTAAACATTTTGAAGACCTCAGCGACATAGCAAACAGCTGATTTTAAAGTTTGACATTTTGGTATATTTATTTCACAAATTGTGTATTTTTATTTAAGTAAATAAGAAAAACATGAACAATCAAGAATATGTGATTAATTTTGCGACAATTTAATTTTGCAGCACTACATCTACTCATTGTCGCCGGCAAAATTAGAAATAGATTTAATTTGGCGACGTCGACAATTGCAGTCCTGCAGCCAAGATGTCGTGCTGTCGTCAAAATAATTGTGTCCGTAAGAACGTGTGTATTTAAAATTTGACAGATGCTGCTTGTCGCTTGCTGTCGTCAAAGTGTTCCGAGCTTAAATAAAACCAGACGGCGCCACGTGACTGGAGTACGTAGAAAGACACACTAACGTAGTGCCATTCAGTCCGCAGGCACGGTCCGATTAACACCTGGCCTTACGGATTTTATCGAGTTGTTCTCTCTAGAGCCGCCATATTCACTAAAAGCAAAGGCACCTCTCGCAGGGTGTGACTCTTCGCCACGTATGGTCGGTCTTGAGCCATCGACTGCCCCTGATCCAGAGCACTGCATCACGGGTGATAACAGCACCAAGAACCTTGACCCCCATAAATGTAGTAATAGTCTCATTTAGCTGTGTTGTTTTCCCACAAGAATGAGAGAATACAACATTGCGCCGTCCTGGCCGTCGACAGTTGTGTACCACAAGTAAACAAAGAATAGAGCGAAAAGAAGAATGAATTTAAACTGCCAAAACAGTTCACTTTACAGCGGAAAACGTGTTTTAATTTTGCTAAATGCGAAAATATTGCATTTTCACACAATCTATTAGAGAATAGTGAACGTTTTAGTGCACTCGATTGCTTTGCAATCAAAGCTGCTGCAGCAAACGTTTTAGTGCACTCCATTGCTTTGCAATTAAGACTGATGCAGCAAACTACCGGCAGCATCTCACCGGGATTGATTAGTTAACTTGCTAAAGGAGGATGCTTGGAGCAGAAGCGAAGTCATTGTGATGCAATGCTGTCAATATAATAATAAAGATTCATTTCGAGAACGGCTTTACCTTGCCCTATGTACACAAAATGCAGCGATTCGTCGCAGCGCTACACTTGCATCTACGCATCTCGCATCTTGACGGCTGTCGAAATTTAACACATGGCACTTCTTTTTTTTTAGTTTTTACGCAGTCTTCAACTCAAAAATTAATCCCGAATTGGCAATTAACACCATTTAAACTGATTTTTCACTTAAAATTAAAATTCTCTTTGTCGCTGATTTGTAAACAAAGTTTTATTTACAAGTTACCACAACTGTCAAAATCGGAAAAACCAAAGTAGCGGTACCACTGACGGCGCTACCTTTGTTCGATGCACCGTGCTTTTCCCACAATCAAATAAGTTGTAAATCTTTCTAAGGTTATAACTTTCTGCCCTTTCATAACAATTATATCAATAAGTATATATTAGTAATATGCCGTTATTTTTGCATTAGTCGTTAAATATGTAGGTGGTTGCCAATTAACGACTATATGAAGCGGTTTTAAATATTTTTATAGCAATTTATTATAAAAAAAATAAAATTTTTTAAGCTCAATTTAATTATTATATTTTTTGTATGGTAATTACATGACTTTTATTCAAACATTTCATTTTAAGTAAAAATATCGTTTTATATTAAAAATCGTTGCAGCCAAAAATTTATACAGCTGTTTATTTCACTGTCAGCGGATGTGCTTAAACTTAACCATATAAAGTTTATACCAATTTAAAGGTATTTCTCTGCTCTTTCTAATAAACACATCATTTATTATAGTTAATAACGTATTTTTCTTAGAAAAACGTACATTTTTATAAAAAAGGCTATAATTAATTTTTTTTTAAATATGTATATAAGATATATAAAAATATGCATATCAAATAAAAGGTCTATCAATTACCATATCCACATTTTGAAATAGTTTTCGAAATATAAGTTTGAAAATATTGGCGCATATTCATAGTCATATTTATTTCACAACTAAGTCGAAACTATCCGAAGTTACAACCAAAGCTATTCATAGTCGCCTTAGTTTCGACTTTTGTGGCTAAGTACCAACTTAAAATTTTGTTTCGGCTGCAGTTGCAATTAAGTCATAACTAGGAAGAAGTATATTTTTTAAATTAAGGAAAAAAAGACGAAATATGTAAAAATTAAGTTGGCAGAGCGTGATTTTGATAATATTGAATGATCTCCAATTGAAATTTACAACGAGCGATCCATTTGAATCGGAAGATGAAATTAAATGCGTATTATAATTCGAATAAGCCTACATCACAATTTTATAATTGGAATGATTTACATATATAAACGCTCAAATAATAAGTCAATTTCATGCTTGTACTTTTAAAGCAAATTAGTGCATAACATTTAGATATGTGTTTGTGTGTTTCACAGCATGCTTTCGATAAACATCGACTTCACATCATTGCGGTAGTTCTGGCTATTTCACACAATTAACAAGAAACTTATACCTTATTCTTTAGCATAAACATGCAATGAAAGTAAAAATTACATAAACGGATGATCAAACTGGACATTATTTAATAAAAATGTAATTTTTCCAAAATATCGTAACGAAAAATCGATACATTTGCACACTCGTTTTGCAATATCCTAAAACTAAGTTAAAATTATGTTCACATATCAATATTATCTCAATCAAAGCTCGTTTTTTAATCACCCCGTTTACACAGGCAAATATCAGATTATTTGCCGTCAAATTTGTTGTGCTCACATCTCAAGGAAAAGTTATGTTTCTTCTCTGTGCCACCGTGATCACGTTTTTCTGCTATGATATGCAATATAAATATATTTTAACTTAACATTATGTTAAAAATACCTTCACAAACTTCTTTTACTTGCTGGCGTACATTTTTGTTTACTTTTACATTTGGCATTTCTCCTCTTTTTCGCAAAAACAATCGATAAAGCTAGGATGGACACCGAAAAGTTATCGGTTAAATCTGAGATTATTTTATAATTACAGATTAACAAGGGACGAATATTATATGGCTAATCTCTTGTTATAAATGAAATGAGGATAATCTACTTATATGTGAACCTAGTATAAAACTACTTAGTAGAAGTTTGAAATGCGACTATGAATAGAAGTGAATTTTAAGGTGGTACTTAAATTTAAGTTGCAACTTTATTAGTTTCGACTTACGCGCCATTGAAAATTCCACCTTCTAGCTCCGCCTTTATTAGTTTTCGTCAAAAATGGTTTACACGTTTCAAATCAGTAGAAAGGAGCGGACCACGCCCACTTTTAGTTCTTGTTTTATCTCAAAGTCCGCTATACTGCACTTATGCCTTATTTATTCCTATGTGAAAATATACTCTTATGAATAACCAGCCATTTTTGTTGTGGAATACACTTTGTTTTGTTTCATTCCATTTGTGCCATATGACAGTGGTAAACGGTACACGATGAAAACATTTGTTTGTCGATGGTAGGAAAAAATTTATTTCGCTCTTGTAAGTCTATTTTTTCATTATTAAATCTCTGAAAAGCCGAGTGGAGAACTATGCTTTTACTGGTATTATCGAATGGTATGAATTCTTCAAAGTGCTGTGTAATACAAATGCGTATGTAACGTGGTAAACGTAATTTTGTTTTTATATTCCCGCAGATATATATTAAACAAAAAAAAAAAAAATATGTCGAGAGATATCGATCAGGAAGTTTCGGACACTTTATGCACTCTTTTGAGTTTTGATGAGGATAATTTCCTCAGTCAGGAGGAAGTAGAGGAGAACTTAAGGAACTGTCCAAATATTGAGCATGTCAACTATCGTAGTGCCAATAGCCCTGGGGCAAATGTTAAAGATTGCCCTGACTCGGATGTTAAAAAAGATGACTGCCAAGATCAAAATGAAGATACTAATGTGAGTCAGGATATTGTCCAGGATCAAGGGAGCCCAGCTATTGAAGGTCAAAATACTGCGGCTAATGATACTGGAGATGTAATCGATCCCAAAACAGTTTTGCATGCCCAAACTGCCGACGAAGAAGAAGACACAGAGAGCAAGTTATTTAAGCAACCCTTGGACATCAAAATGGAATTTATTTGCGAATCAGAGCAGTTTACTGAAGGGCATTTAGAATCATCACGAAAGGTTGCTGACGAAGAGGAAGATTACAACTTTAATGAACATGATGATTTTTTAAAAATGGAGTTTATTTCCGAATCCGATCAGATTCCTGAAGACCATATTGCCGGCGAATATGGTTTTGAAGACCAATATAAGAAAGATATAAACTTCAATGATGGATTGACACATGTAGAAGTGAGCTCTCTCGATGATAGTTTTGAAAGAATTGGGAATATCAGTCCAAAAAATGAACTGCTTGATAACATACTTCTAAACCAAGATTCTGCTTACACACCTAATGAAGAATTGATCATAAATGCTGAGGAGGATGGCGAGCTCTCGTCTGTAATGAATGATCATAATTACACATCACAAGAAAAAGCAACTCATGAGGAAAATTTGCATAAGATTTTGGTCAGTCACATTTTAAATAAAGGATCTACCACTATGTCAGTAAAGAATGTAAATGACTTTGTAGAAAAAACATTGGAAAGTATAAATACATTTAGCACTGATAGTGGAAATCTACAAAATGATGCCAGTGAAGACCCAGGAGGCTCTGTAGGATTGACCGATATTTTTTGTGATGGAAAATCATCAAAAAAAGCTGTGTTTGATGATAAATTAAAAAGTCTTTCCACCAATCATTTCCCATCTGAAAAAGAAGCTACGGACAAGGCAAACACATTGAGAGAGCTTCCATCTGATTATGGTTTATCCCAAACAGATAATTATAATAACACGATTTGCGCCGAAGACGGAAGTTCTATAGATGGAGTGGTTCAAAATATCAGTATATCTTCTATAGCTTCACCGAAAGAGGACTGTTCGGAACCTTTAGAACATGCGATGGGTGAAATTTCTTCCCAGGAATCGGAAGGCATAAGTGATTTGGTAATACAAAATTTGCAATCAACTCCCCAAGAAAGCACTGGACATATGTCCGCAGATGAAATAGAAAAAGTAACGCATAACGATGTTCGCACCGAGCTTAGCGGTGGGGATGTATCAGAGGAGCATTGTTCGGATACATTGGAAGTCAAAACGTGCAACGAAGCGAACGAAAATAGTCACGAAAAGATAGACGATGAGCAAACGAGATTACTGCTTCTGCAGGACGACCAAACCGTTTCAGATGGACACACAAAAACGACGACATCTAATGAGGAACTGCTTAAAATTGCCGAGGAAGACTTCGAAGAAGGCAAAGAAGAAATTAATACGACGGAGGAGTTCCTCGCCAACGAAACCATTTCTAATAAGATCTCAGCTAGCGTCACTGAATTGGAAAAAGTAGAAAGTAGCGCATACGCCGATAACAAAGATTTTAAAACTTTGAATTTGTCATCTGTTCCTTCACCACAAGAGAATTGTTCCGAGCCCATGGAGCATGCAACATTTGATGAAGCTTTCGAACTTAATTGCAAGGAAAAATCAACAGTAATTAAACATTTAGAAACACTTCTGTCATTTGCGAAATCCCTACAGAACGATTGCGAGACATTTACATCCTCAACAACTTCTATAGAAAACAAGCTAAAAAAATATTTGCAACAACAGTTTGAAATTTTTAAGAAAATCGTTCAATCATTTACAGCATTTCGATGTGAAGAAAAATCCATTCAGACTGACACAAGATTATCGAAACGCAAACTGAAAAAGTTAAATCAAAATAACAAACAAATTCTGCTTGATCCTAGTGACTCAAGCAGTTCAAGTGACTCGAGTAGTTCTGAAACATCAATAAAATCTCAAATCTTCCGGGGTAGAGCAAAAACAAGCGCAAACAAAGCACAAACGGATTCGGCAACAAAGACATTCAATGGCAATAAAAATGAGAGTATTGCTGGTGAATACGACGATGGAGTGGCATTAGTTGATTATACACAATCTGAAATATTTGAAACTGAGGCATTTTGTGAATCTTTCTCTAACATAAGAAAACTAAATAAAAGCGATACTTTAAGTGATGATGATATTAGCGAGAGAGATGTAGAGGACACATGGGACTGCAAGAAGGGTAAGCCCAGTTGCCATGTTGAACGCAATGGGTCGCAGAATGAGAGTGACAAAGAGAATTCAATGCACAAAAACTTCGACAGTAATAAGAATTCACAGGACGATGGAGACAAAGAGATTGAACGGTAAGAGACGGAGATACATTACTTTGGAAATGCCCAAATTCATTTATATTAATTTTAATTTACTATTTTCTAACTATTAGGCTAATTAATCTTAACGGTTTGATCAAAAGACCTAATTTGGGAACAGGACGGTCAGCGGAGTCAAACGAGAAAGCAAAAACTAAAAGCAGTATTAAAAATAAGGATCTGGCAGACACTTACATCGATGATGATATACATCAAGATATTATTTCTGATGCGAGTATAAGCGAAGTAAGTATTTGCTATAATAACTTATGCACCAATTTTGGGTACGCTCTTTATCTATTATAAATAAGGAACTAGCGCTTAAGCTATCAGCCATCGGACTAGCAACTGGAAAGGAAAATTTTCACCCGATCTTCAGCCGGAACAGCACTAGTCCAGAGGCAGGGGGACCTGTTTTAGTAACATATAGGGATGTTGGGGTTAACGTAAACCTAGCTGACCAACACATTTTTGCAAATTTCTCGGAAACCAATAGAACACCTAAATTAGTTTTGGAGGCCCCAATTAACACCTAAAAGACACCTAATTCTTAGTTTTTAACCGACTTCCAAAAAAGGAGGAGGTTATCAGTTCGTCGGAATATTTTTTTTTTTTTTTTTTTTTTTTTT